TAATTTTGTTCTTGTATGTTACTTTTACATACGTTATCTAGCATGGCTTCAAAGAGGAAAAGATTAACTTCAAAACAAGAAGTTGATTTAATTCATGCAGTAGAAAGAGATTTAGTTTAGAAATCTGGTATAAGTAAAAACCAAGTAAGTCATGCTAAAGATTATAGAAGAAATAAAATCACGTGAAACTGATACAGTAGTGTTCGACTGGTATTGTTTTGTAACAACAAACAATATTTCTGTAAGTGAGGTATTACTGCAAGAAATGGCAAAAGAAGTTTCGAAAAAACCGGGACTACTGAAATTTATGAAGGATATGAGGCTATATACATCTACAAAGTAAATAAAACTTGATTATTTTAACTCATTTTGCCTAATAAAATCTCTTCAAAGGAGAGAAAAATCCTGGTGATAAAAGCGCCAAAAAAGGTCTCATTGTGCTGCTTTGTTATAACATAGAAGTATAGTTTGAGCAACAATTTGTAATTGGAGAGACTAAAAAATCAAGATGCTTCAAACATAGAATTCCAAAAGTTTTTCAGCCCTTTGGCCTTATAATAAAAAGATGAATGATGAGAAGTATAATGTCAGAATTGTTGATCGCTCTTGAAGAAACAGTGCCTAGAGAAAATAGGTAGATTGTTATTTCTTGACAATTCGCCTGCCCACCCACCAAATTTAAAACTGAAATCAGCGAAATTAGTATTTTTCCATTTAATGCAAAATCCGTATTACAGCCTTCGGACCAAGGTATAATACCATAGAAGCTTCATTCACTACAAAAATTGTTCTTGCGGCATGTTCTCAGACAAGCTGCTTGCAGAAACAGCACAGCGATCAACTTGCAAAATGTGTCAATGTATTGAATGCAAATGAATGGAAACGAAGGCTGCTAAATCCTTGTCATAAAGTTGTGTGCAGCATTGTTTTAAGAAGGAAGGTTTTGAAATTCCAGTTTCGAGTGCCCTGAATGAAAATACTGCGGATGAAAACGAATAGTTTGTTTAGAAATCGATGAAAACTTGTGTACTGAAGATATAAAATCTTTTATTTCAACTGTAGTTGATAATGTGAGCTTCAACAAAAATAGCTTGGAAATCAATGAGGAAGACAAAGAAGAGCCACACGAAAAGTGTGATATAAAGAACTATACAAATGTCTTAAAATACACCTTCAAATTAAAAAAAAAAATAATTCATGATAACTGTTGGTAACAATGAAGGACTTAAAATCATCAGTGACTTTAATATCTATATGGAAAAAAATGCTTGCAATGCATAAACTTTCAATCAAACACGTATAGCGAATTACGTTCAATAAATTTCTGCTTCATACACTTAATTAAACTTTTTTTTTTTAAATTAAGCCTTATCATTTTTCATCAGCTTCAAATTCATATAAATACCCGTGGCTATGTTAATTATTTATATATCATTTATTTAAAGCTTGATATATCCCGAATTTCTAATTAAATTGCATTATTTTAGTATGTACCATGTCAAGAAGGGACACTTGTATTTAAGGGGCACAATATCTGGCCCAGTGGGTACACCTTATTGGGAGATACTACTGCATACTAAAGGCAATTTGCATAATTTTTACTTCACGAAGCATTCTACTGTCTGGATTAAGTTTGCGTTCAAATGTTAGAATTTGTCTAAAAAGGCATCAAATATAAACAACTAGCTGATACTTGCCCGCTTTTCTAGGCACACTATCTACTTGAATGTGAACCTAGACTTCTTATATGGACGAAATATCTAGTTTCGAATTTATAATTATTTAAAATCGGAAAATATAGTACCAGTCATTGAATCTGTCATACACAGATTTCCCCATTATCAATGAGGTACTGTATATTGGGATGCGTCCCCAATATTTAACGTGGCGAGATCCCCAGTTGGCCTATTCCAGGAAAGAAAAATTGCTAACATAAAACTAAGGTTTATATACATTTAACTGTTATCATAAGTTTCATGAAAATAAATGTTATTATTTTTGTTATCAAATTTGTTAATCACTTATAATTATTTGTTCTTGACTTTTTATGTATGGCAATTTTTATAAATAACAACATTATGTTTCATCACAATAATTTATTTCTCTTATTAATAACATTTATTTTTATGAAACTTCAGATAACAGTTAAATATAAATGTTATTATTAACCTTATCATTTAAATGTTGTTTGTATTCATTGGATAGATGCAAGTTGGTTATCAATCTAATAATTTTAAAGGAAAATGCATTCATTGTCAACAATGTATTTCATATCTAAATTTGGCAATAATAAAAGAAAATTCTGAACTTGGATTTGAAAACCAAATGTAGGAGAAACTTCTATTGTATAACAAAAATCCGTTTTGGACAGGATTGACGTAAAATCCGTTCTTAGTGCGAGTCTACATCGTGGAATGAGTAACTATGCAAAATTTCAAGTCAATCCTATGTGTAGTTTCCGAGATCTCGTGATGATTAAGTGGGATTTCACTTATACATATACATATTTAGATTGGTTTAAAAATTAGAAGATGAATATCAACGGATATCTCTGTTAATCAGAACGTAAAATAATAATAAATAAATAAAGTAATGGTGCGGAGTAATACTTCCGTAAACTACATATGGTCATATTGGATGACAACTTACATTTTCATAAAAAAAAAATTGTGCAGAATTAAGTCGTATGATTAATATTAGACATTCTATATTTTGCTCGAATATCCATCATACACAGTTACTTCCTTCCTTACGTAACATTTTTACATGTCACATTTATCTTTAGATTTTAAAAGGAATATGAAAAATCTTAAATCGACATTCTTAATACTTTAGTAATTAAGATTTGGAATTATGGTTCAGTAACAGCCTATTTCTTACAAAGGTGGAACTCATTTGTTTCCAATTATTTCACTATGAAAAATAACCGATTTCACTCCCATAGAAAATGTGCAGCACATTCATTTTATACATCCAAAATTCTTAAGAGACTAGGATATGATTTACAACAAGTTGCCACAGCTGTCAGTTCTTGTTTCAAAATGCTGATGTTAGAATTACTGACTATTATCATGACCTCATAACGAAAGAAATGGCATCTGTTTGAAATTAACAAAGAATTGATTTCAGTTTACAAAAATATATTAGGAATTAATAAAAAAACTTAAAATTTAAACTTAACCTTAAATGTTAAGTTGTAATGCTAAATTTAAACAACCTTAAATGTACCTTACTGTCAGATCCCTTCCCCATTTTCCATTATAGAATTGTGCAGAATTAAGTCCTATAGCTGATATTAGACGTTCTATACTTTGCTCAAATCTCCACCATACACAGATACTTCCTTCGATAATGACATGGTTAATCTTTAGATTTTATATGGATTATGAAAAATCTTAACTCCAGATTCTCAATACTTTAGTAATTAAGATTTGGAATTACGGTTCAGTAACAGCACATTTCTTACAAAGGTGGAACTCATTTGCATGAAATGAGACTCCACCATTGTATGAACGTAAAATCTGAAGTTTCGTTCTGATAAACTCACATTTAATTTCTCTTAGAACTGTGTAGTTGATTTCATTTACCGTTTTGTTCCCAGAATAGAATCCTCTGTAATAAGTAAAGCCTTACTTGACCACCAATGACCGAAAGGATATGCCCATTGAATACCGGGAGCTCGACCCTGTGCAAATCTTAGCGAATGGGCATGCTGTATGAATGTTTTCTCGTTTTTGCTAAAGTGTAATGTGAATACAAAACAGGTTCCTTTAAAATATCCTGTAAAGCCACCAGTAGCCGAGCGGTAAAGTCGCTGAATATTGGTGGTTCGATTCTCGAAGAAAGGACAGGCTGCCTGGGCGTTTTCGTGGTTTAAGTCCTCCATGAAGCCATCTCTCCACTCAAGTGCTTTGCGTAACAGCCTTCCAGTGCTTTCCCGTAATCGTAATTAAATAAACCAGACTTAGAAAGTCCTGTACGAAAGACTTCCTCTCAAACAGGTCGCTCTCGCTTACTTTGCTTTAATCATTTAATCAAATCAGATCGAAAATTTAAGCAGATTGTCCTGGCCTGCTTTGCCTTAGTCAGTTGAGGAAACCAAATCGAAAGCATATTTAACTAGTAACAACATAAAGTTATTTAAATTAAAAGTATAAAGTTATTTAATATTTAAAGTGCGACAGAAAATCAGCATCTCGTATTTTATAAAATTTTAATTTTATTTTGTTATTTTACATTTATATTAATGCGTCAAATTTATATAAGGTATCAAAAAACAGTAAACTAATGCAAGGGGCTGAAAATATTAATATCTTGAAGCAAATAAATTAAAAAGTTTTATACAGGTTATTCGCATCGCCCAAAGCGGCCTTTCTTTTTTTTTTTAACGTTTTGCGTTTTATTTATTACACATCATGTTCTTCGCACTTAAACCATAAAATTCAATTCAACAGCAGTATCACAAAATAATTTTAAAGAAGCATGTCTTTAGAATTTAGGATATACAGTCTCGTGCGCTGGAAATAAAAATGTTTTTATTTTCACACTGTGTTGCCATTGCTCGCTTTGAAATCGTTGAGTTTTTTAATCAAAAATTCATTAAAGTTTTACAAAATATGAAACATATACTAAAACAAATTCCAAATTAGGGCTTCCAGATGCCCATATTCGGGTAGAGGATTACGTTATTCAAAATTTGATAGCTCTAAAACAATTGCTTTTGCTAAGTATAAAATTATATAATTTGTAAATAAATTCGATTTTATATAGGGGTGCGAATTTACCACTTTGCCTTAGGTGAAAAAATATCTAGGCACAGCTCTGAGTTAAATATCTGAATTTTAATTCGAGATCACATTTACTAGTCCGAATAATTTTCAGAAATTATGAAATTTCTGATAAAGAATGAGGTTTAAAAATTAGGATGTGTTTTTTTTTAATCTGATACAGCATGAGAAAAATCTATCTTCTGGAACATAACCAAATTTTTTATATCCCAGATTCTACCCCAGGGCCATTTCTAGTACGATTTGTATCAAATGGAGTACGAAATGCAAGAGGTTTCCATTTCACATACAGACAAAACCCATGCAAATAGAAAATACCAGAGGAGATTTCATTACAGGTAAGATTATATAAAATACCCAGTATATCAGAATTGATGGAAATCATTAACTCTAAAACATGATGTACTTAATCACATGGTGTAATTAAATCCTCTTAATAACATGACATAATTAAATCAAAATAATAAAACGAAATCAATGGGAAAACTCTGTCAGAAATTTACAGACGTCTATAAATAATACAGTTTGTTTTAGTGCAATAAAATTTGAAGACAAACAGCAAAAAGTAAACAAAACGATACAAAAATGTGTTATAATTATTACATAGATATCAATTACAAAATTAGGAGAAAATCAATATTATATAGGTTTTGGTTTTGCACAAACCTCGAATTTTGAAGTCCTTTTCCTTCATGGAGTAAAAATATTCTCATGATTTAGATTATGAGTAATATGTTAATTCACTAGAAGAATTACTCAGAATATTTCTGTTCCTTTTTTTTTTTTCGGAGGGGGGGGGGAGTATTGTTCCATTGAGATGGACAGTATTTTAAGAAACCAACCTTGTTCCAAGGTTGATTTCAGCTAATTTTGGACTGGCATGTAATACTTCTTCGATAAACACTGATTAATTTTAATGTGCCATTACCCAAAGATATAGCAAAATATATTTTTTTTTAAATTTATGCACTTCGTTACACAATCAATATAAGCAGATTTTTTTTTTTTTTTTTTTTAAAGTTATTTCACTGCAATCATTTACTGAAGTTCCTTTTATAATGTTTACAATCAAATAATAAAGTAATTTCAAATTTACTTTATTTAATGAAATGTTTAACATTTACTCACTAAAGTATCTATTGAATTTACATTCAAAAGAAATGGATAGAAATTATAAAGTATTACACTTTATTTACACTCAGAATTTCAAACCTAATATAAACAAAAAAGTCCAAAACTAGCTTAAATTTGATTACAGAAACTGAAATAGAATTTTTAACTGATATGAGATTTTTCTAAAGAGCAATAAATTACGGTAATACAGATTTATGAATTTTATAAATTTCAGAAAAGAAACAAAGAGTCCTATCTTAATATTAAATCTGCTTGTTAATTAATAAAAATAAAAGCACAGAAATACCTAAAATGCGTATATTTTCCTGGCAATAAAAACTCTGCAATGTTAATGGTTAGCAGAAAATAAAACTTAAAATTCTACCTCTGGATAAGCTAATTAGTAAGTTAACCATATACAGATTTTAAACAGAAACAACATACATAGTGTCACCATAAAGATATATAAATAAATAAAAAATAAAAAACTGATAAAATGACAGTGTTACTGAGAAGTAAATTTTTTAATCTTTTTTCTTTTACAGAGAATATTATAGTAATCACCAGTGCTCATACCTATGGCGATTTATCATTTTTAAGATACGAAGTTGAAATAACTTACGATTCAATATCTTTAATATTTGTAATGCATGTGATGGACAGCCTTCCTTAGGTGAAGAAAAACTGAAGCATACTGTAGTAACTTCGAAACATCCATGGTTTATTTGACAGATATTTTACAGTATTTCTTAGCAGTTCTTTACAACCCTTCTGAATATGTGCTCAATGTTTAAAATCCGAATTTTGACATTGCTCACATTTTTTGTACTATTCAAGCTGTACAAGTTATATGTCTCACAAGTTTTTAATTATGCATTTCATCCTTTTGAAAAATTCCCTTAAGTTATTTTGATGATCTGTATGAATACTTTAAAATGGATGTGATTTGTTCATAAATAAAATGGATTTTGTCTAAAAAGGTGTGTTTTTAATTACTTTATAAAAATATAATGAGACATGTTATAATGTTCAATTGAAATATATATTAACATTTAAAACAATTTTTAATGGAACACTACTACACAGAGATAAATATCTATTTTCACTGGCAAAATAAGTAAATAAATAAACAGTACAAAAAATTATGAGCTGTTAATCTATTTGATGGTACACTTCACCAATCGATTTCCTACTCTGTCAAGATTCCTAAACTATTTATGCATCAAAATCAATTATAGTTACAACTATTTCCATGGTTCGTATTTTATCAGTGTCTAACTGCAGAATACAAATATTACAAAGAAAATAATTTTATATAAGTAAGATAGGCATAATGGTATATTTTAACATGCTTGTGTATCTCCATATGTATTTAGGTAGATCCAAAAGTTTCTGCCATGTTATACTTCTAAAATAATTACAGAAAATTTTAATGTTTTACTTTTCCAATATCATCTCTTTGTACCTTGATAAACGTTTCATATTATTTATTGAGCAACTCTATATTCCTGAAAAAGTAATACGAAGGTTTTCATCAAAATGCTCTATAACTGCTCTTTTCACACCATCATCATCATTACATTTCTTTCCAACTAAAGCACATTTCAGTCTGGGGAACAGATAATAGATAAATCCAGGCTGTACGAGGATGGTCAAGCTTTCTAAATCTGTACTGGTATTTTTAAATTGCTAAAAGAAGTATGAATATTTTTAAAACAGTTGTTTTGCATAGATCCAATCTTGCAGCTATTTTCTTGATTTTTTAATCTTCTATCACTCATTATTTCCTCTCCCCTCAAGACCTGTAGGCTGCCTCAACATGGCGAGGGGGTGGCACTGGGTGGAATAGGCGAAGTACGTCGGGAGTGTATACTCCTCGTAGGGCCACCCTAGGCGTGAAGGCTATTCCATTACACCCAGCTAAAGCCTACAGGCATCTGAGCCAAGTCAGTCCTCTACCATTGGTGCTCGGGTCTCACGACTTACAGAGGCTACCCTTTTCCTCCACCCATGAGTCATGAAGCTTTCTAATGTGATCCACACTGCATCGCCGATCGCACAGGTTCAAAAGGGGTGCGTTCGAGGTTTAGGAAGAGGACCTCGTCCGAAAACTAAGCTACAGTCTCCTAGACTACAAACTCTTAAAATAATCCAATGTAACGTTAATGTATTTCAGCATTGGCAGGGAAATCTAAACTTCACCAAATATTGGAGTTGGCTGAAGACCAGGGAGCTCAAATTATCACTCTACAGGAAACTAAAATTGAGAGAGAATTCTCAACTAAAAGTTAAGGGATACAACATTCATCTGTTTAGATAGACATACGCGAAAGGAAGGCGGTGGCCTCGTTTTCCTTATCAGAGACATTTACTATATTTCCAAAAGTTATAAGTGTACCCACTGGTTCAGATTTAGAGTTGCAAGGCGTCACTGTTTTGTGGACAGGTGAACCACTAGACATCTTTAATTTATATCACCCTCCTCAACATTGGTTAATCTTGCCTGGAGTCTTTGATAATCTTTTATCTGGAAATACTCTACTTCTTGGGTGACGTAAATGCTAAGCACCCAGTGTGGGGTTGCTCTTCCCAGAACCAGAGAGAGACTTAATCTTCTTCATTCTGTTGATGACTCAAGGTTTCATGATCCTTAATGATGGTACTCCAACGCACTCTTCATATAGCTATAACAACGTCTGAAGCCCTTGACCTGTCCTATAGTAAGCCCCACTATCTTTCCAAATTGCACCTGGACAGTTATGAAGAATATTGGGAGTGACCATTCTCCAATATTAATTGAAATAAAGAAGAAACAGTGTACTTTCCTTAATCGTAAAAAATATTGGAATTTTGCTAATGCAGACTGGAAGGCATTTGGTAGTCTTGTTGACACCCTGGCTGAACCTAGCATTCATTCAAGTGACCTTGATACTAACTGGATTACTTTTAAGCACATGCTCTTTGGGGCAGCTAAAAGAACTATACCTAGAGGAAGGGTAAAGCTTTTTAATCCTTACTTTACTCATGATTCGCCGGTTTTGCAAACTTTACTCCAGAAGAGAGAAAACCTGCGACTCAAATTAAAAAACAATAATACAGAGCAAAACAGGACAGAGATGAACAAAGTCAATGCAGAAATAAAAAGAACTTATGTGCTACTTAAGAGGAAAAAATGGATGGATATATGTGAGGGACTTGATGCTACATCATCTGACACGAAATTGTGGAAATTGATCGAAAATATTAGCAATGAACAACCTCAGATAAAGAGATGTAATACTATCTTAGATACGGATGGCAACATCCCTATAGACGAAAAAGCTGCGGCTGATCTCCTCGGGGCACATTACCAGGAGATAAGTGAGATGACTTTTACAGAAGTTGATAAAAAAATGAGAAAAAGGTCTCGAGATCTTGCATATGGATGTCGTAGTGCTGTCTCAGGCAATCCCCTTTTCTTTAAATCCTTCTCCATGCATGAATCGGAGATGGCACTTGAGGATCTTGACTTGACCAAAACTCCTGGACCTGATGGTATCCATGGCCAAATGATTAGGCATCTTGGCACTAATGGAAAAAAAGAAATTTCTGAATATAGTAAATCAATCTTGGAGTCTAGGACGCCTTCCTAAAGAGTGGAAAAGAGCCGCAATTATACCTGTTGAGAAACCTGTCCAAACCGATGGATCTCCTGGGAGATTTAGACCCATTGCCCTAACCAGCATTGCATATAAAGTCATGGAAAAGTGATCATGGGGCGGTTGCTCTTTCACCTGGACACCCACGACCTCCTACCAAAAGAATAATACGGTTTCAGAAGAGGTCATAGCACCACTGATCAATTGGTCTATCTCAGCCAGAAGATTAGAGATCCCGAAAACAAGCGACCTACCAATCATACCGTGGCTGCTTATCTAGACTTGTCAAAGGCGTTTGACCGTGTCTGGAAACATAATCTAATAGTTAAACTCTACGAAGATTTTGGCCTTGATCTGGATCGCAGATTTCTTACGAAATAGACTGATAAAAGTAAAGCTTAATTCCACTACGTGAAACGCCTTTAAATTGAGCTAAGGCATCCCCCTGGGTTCTGTGTTGAGCCCAATTCTTTTCTGCCTGTATTTGGCTGGAATTGAGAAGATTATATCAAGGAGATGTGAAGTTGATTTATTTGCGGATGATATTGCCCTTTAGAGCTCTGGCCCAGATGTGAGTTCAATTGAGGCCAATATAAATTTTATCCTTGAAGAAGTGTGGAAATTCTCAAAAGACCACAAATTGAGTTTTAATCCAACTAAATCTATTGTTATTTTTTTAACCACCAAAAAGAAGATTTATAATTATCATCCAAAGATTTTTATGAATAATTTGCCTCTAACATATGACAAACATCCCAAATATTTGGGCTTCGTTCTCGATCCAGAGATCACTAGTAACAAACACGTGGATGCGCTGGTTTTTAAAGGCAGAAAACGCCTAAACATTCTGAAGTATATCTCGGGACGTGATTGGGGAGCCGATGCTTGCACTTTGAGAACTGCTTACTCAACTATCATACGACCTATTTTGGAATACGGTTTCCCCGTTTACTGTTGTGCCTCTTCCACCAACCTCCAGAAATTGGAAAGACTCCAACTTAGTGCTTCTCTCATTATAATTGGCTTGTGCAACAGTTGCCCAAATAAAATTGCGTTGTATGAAACAGACCTTCAACCCCTCAGTCTAAGAAGAAATGCAGGCCTCATAAAATATTATAATAAACTTCTCAGTTATGGCTCCCAGAATAGAACTTCAGAATTTCTGCAGCACTGGAGTAATAACCAAAGACTTAAGAAAAATATTCCACTTTGTCAAATTGAGTAGTATGCTGGTATAATTGACTGTAATGTTGAGCAACATTCCTTGAAACAATGTTTAGATCCGTCTGAGAGACTCCCTGGAGTCGGGTTCCATGCGGAACTTTCGTCTCGAGTTTCCAAGAAAAATGATATTCCGGCCCTGTTACGACAATCTGAACTATACATGCAATCAAACTATACATGCAATTCCCGCTGAAGCTACCCTCATCTATACTGATGGGAGTAAAAGCGAGGACTCTCGCTCCGGTAGTGGTGTTGTCATTAAATGCACAAATGGAAATATTGTTAACATAAAAAAAAGAAATTCTGACTTCAGTTCGGTTTTTAAGAGTGAGCTTATAGCCATCGAAGAGGGACTAAATGCTGTTTTGTACTTTACAGATCTTAAGGCAGTATGGATTTTGTCTGACAGTCGTAGCGCTATCAAATATCTTTCAAACTGGCAAAGAGTTGGTGATAGGGCTGGAGCTGCAATTCTTAGCAAACTTAGGCAGGTCTCGTCACTCTGTGAAGTGCATCTTCAGTGGATTCCTTCCCATGTTGATATACGGGGGAATGAAATAGCAGACACTCTGGCGAAGGAGGCTTCTGAAGAACCTTTGCCAATTATCAATTCACTGACATATCTTGAACTGCATTCCATTAGAAGACATGCTGAAAAGCAAATTTGGCTCGTCCCCCAAGTCATCCCTGGTATCAAGCCGATTGTCCAGGAAGATCCCTTGCTATGGATTGAAAAAGATGTGTTCAGACAGCACTTTCCCGATTCTTCGGTGGGCACCTGAGACTTACTTTTGAGAGTGGTATCAAGATGCACCGAATTTGTTCTAAGTGTCACAATGCACCCGCATCATCGGCACATATCCTTGAGTGCCTGGAGTTGTCTCTTGTGGACCTTTACGGGTCTCCTAAGCTTGTTTTTGATTTTTTAAAGGTGAATGGACTCGTGGACCTCGTCTAGTATATTCCTAGGCATGGAGATTAGTAACAACAACATTATTTCCTCTAGGGTCTGAGCAATATTTTCTAATGTTTCTAATGATTGACCTTCATGAGAATCATGCATTATAGATTCTCACCTATGCAAACTTGTTTAACCCATTCTT